TTAATTGCAAAATTTAAAAAATACTTTTATTAATAGTATCTTTTTCTACAGAAGTACCTAGCTTTTTACGTAATGAAAAAAGATTACGAAAAAATAATATTTCTTATGCAAAATAAAACATATTTTGATTCACAAATAGGATATTAATTTTGATAGGAGACTGAAAAGAGGGGTTACTTTTTCCGTCTGATTTTTACGCATAAAAAAAGTGCTATCCAATATTATAATAATTTTAGTGTTTTTCATCAAATGCGTTCTTTCAATTTAACCCTTTCAGCAAAACAAACCACAAATGAATTCGGGAGACTCCGCAAGCTTGCTACGATGCAACCCAAAATATAGCAGACGGCGCTGTTTTACAAAAATATAGCCAAATAAATTATATTTAGTTACTCTCCCTTTTCTATGTTGCTTTACTATTTTGTAATCAAGAATTCTAAATCATAAAAAAATGAATTTTTATTTATTTAATTGTAATCACTCTCTGTTTATCTAACATCAGATTTATTTAATACGAGTTAGCGTGGCGTCGTATCATTTACTTTTCAGTTATTGCCGTATTAAAATCTTAATCCAAGAACAGTTCATCTGGCGAAAGTACATTACAAGTAACCCATCCTAACAAAGGTCGTCCATCATCAGCAAGAAAAGAAGATTTTATTAATGAATCAACTGAAAACAAATTACCACTAAAATTTTGTAACCGCCGCTGACTGGAAAATGCACCTGCAGCTGAAAGAGCAATATTGCTTTGGAATGATCTAAAATCTTATGTGAAAAATGTTGAAAGTGGCAAGTTTGGAAAAGTGAAATGCAAATCTTTTTTTAACTTTACAAGAAGCAACAATAGACAAATTAATTCTTGTTAAGCTGAACTTTTTGTTAAGTGCGTCGGAGCTAGTTTCACTACTTTTGAAACTGTATCAAGCAGATCGGACACTATTACTATTTTTTGCTGAAGATATCCAGAATTTGATATTACATACTGTTACATATTAATTTTCATCGGTACATAAATTTTTATAAAAAATAAAAAAAAATCGAGACATCACAAACCATTATTTGAATTGTTAAAAGTATTTTTATTTTCTTTTAATGTTTTTAATCTGTTTTGTACAATCGGCTGGTGGCTGGGTCGCGTGCTAGCGATTTTACCCTTTTTGAGTTTAAAGTCCCTTCGCAAACGAATATTCCCCTAACAGGCAGTAAATGGCTGAAGAGGAGCGACGTAATGGATGAAGAGGAATGACGTAATGGTATGAGAGCCTATCAGGGATTGCCAGAGGGCGCTGTTTTTCTCCCTCCTCTTTTCGAATCTTTGAAGCAGAGCGCGTTAGCCAGTTTCTTAATTTTTTTTCCTTCTAGGTAGACGTTTTAGGGCTACTAGGCCCTGGATCCAGAGACCGGATGACCGATAAGTGCCTTTTAAATTGGCGTATTAAATGAGTAATTCATTTTATTGATTATAAATCCGTCTTAAATTATCAATGTCGAAACTTAAATAGAATTAACTTAAAATAGATGCTAAAAAATCTAATTACTCCGCTAATCTTAAACCACGTGCGAGATGATTTTTTTTTAAAAAAAAAACCAGTCAAATTTTTTATAAATTGTTAAATGTGTGAAATGTTATATGTCCATTAATATAATTTAAATTGTTATAACATTTGAAACTAATTTTGAAGGTGCACCGAATTTTGAATATAATGAGTTCTAATTATTGTTTAACTTAGACACTATATTTGTATAAGTACAAACACATTGTAATTAAGATTTAAGTTTAAATACATCTTTGTTTTTAAACGCTAATTTAGTCTTTAATTTTGACTATGTCTCATGCTGTTTCTTTGGATAGAGATAATGTGGTACATGTGCAGTCCGGTGCCATAATTTTCTGAAAAGATCGTTAAAATCTTTCTAAATGAAAAATTATTTCGATTAATCATGTCAATTAACATTGCTTATAATTAATTCTAGTCCAAATTGCCGTTTAACTAATCAGATTAACATTGATCTTGATGCACGTGGATGGCCTGCACGAGTACGTTAGGGAATAGTAATAACTGATGTTAAATGTTAGTTATTAAGGTATGAAGCTGCTAATTATTTTAACGTTGGAATCACAATGTAGTTATTTTGATCATTTTAGTTATATTCCTAATTTTTGATTTAAACCCACACAACGCAAAATTATCGTTATTAAAAAATTAGGTTAATAGCTATATTCCAACATGCTTGTTAAAAAATGAACCAAAAAAATTAATACAAATAAATATTTGAATTATAACATTTTTAAATGATAACACTGACTGGTTATGTTTTTTAAAATTTATAAGTGATTGAATTTTTAAATTATAACACTTAAGCCTAAGATTTGATCAACAATTTTATTTAATTATACCAACAATGTAATCAAATTATAACACTATACGATCAAAGGTAAATTATTATTTTATGAAAGGATTAGTGTTCATGGATAAATTCCAAAGGACATTATATGTTAAAAATGATCCATGAAATTAAAAGTAAATTATAACAATGTTTACGAACCAATATATAATTTAAATATAACCCTGGTTAGTTTAATCTTCTATAAATATAACAATATAAATTTTTATAAATTATAACAGTGGGTTAATTTTGTCAATGGATAATACTGAATACCAAATAAATTATACCTGGTTTATATTTTAATAAACAATTTTTTTAAATTATTACAATACTGTGTAATTATATAACAATCTGAAGCCAGAATCTATAGAAAACTTAAATTCTCTAGAGAAACTGTGTCATTTTAATTTTTGTGATGAAAAGAATTATGGTTTTCTGACAAAAATCAGTGTAGGTTTTAATGGCGACCAAATTTTAAATCCGCTGTTGGCCTCAAAAGTTATTTCTGACCAGGATCATATGAATATAAAGAAAGATTGCAGAAAGTTATCACTAAAAATGTCAAAAAAAGAAAATTGAGGAAAAAGATTGTGACACAATTAGGCTCCAAATTGTAGACTTTTTAGACAGAATTGTTAAGTGCAATTTAGTAGAATTTAAACGTTATAATGAGAAAGAAACAAGGCAGGACGCATTTTTACAGAATTATGTTGGTGATGACAAGAACTTTGCAGAACTGTGGTATGTTATGCAAATATTAATGAAATTGTCACATGGACAAGCGTCTGTTGAGAGGGGATTTTCTGTGAATCGGAATATTGAATTTGAGAACAGAAAAGGGGACTCGTATAAAGCAAAACATGTTATTTGTAACAACATAAAACAAGTTGGGGTTATATTACATATCTCTATAACTAAAGAACTGCGGGTGTCTGCAGCTAGTGCACGTTCTAAATATCAAAAATGATACATCAAATTTTTTAGTCGATCAAAAAAAAAAGAAAAAAAGCTGAGCATTCGCAGCGTCCCCGCTGTTGTAAGGGTGTAAAATCTTTACCTGTGGCATATCGTGCCAACAAGAAGGCTTGGATGACGGGTTCGCTGTTCGAAGAATGGCTTCGAATCCTTGATAAAAAAATGCATCAACAGAACAGAAAAATTTTGATAATTGTCGACAATTGCACTGCGCATTCAAAGGAAATTAAAAATTTGAAGGCGATAAAAGTGGAGTACCTTCCCCCAAATGCGACATCAGAGCTCCAACCAATGGATCAAGGTGTGATCCACAGCTTCAAAAGAATCTACAGGAAAATGCTGACTCGCAAAATGTGGAAAACAACATGAAATTTGACGTTCATCTGCTGGTTGCTCTACGAACTGTAGAAATCGCTTGGAAAAAAGATGAAATACCTTGACGATGAAATACTGAAGGTATTTTCCTTTATGCAAATTTGAGGTCGACGATGATGTACAAAGAACTTAACAGAGAAGGAGAAACTTCAATTTCCAATTTTTTTTACAAAAACTTAAAACATGGACAGAAACAGAATCTTTCCAAAATAAATTGGATGGAACTATCAAAAAAGGCGACCAATTACTTGGACAATTAGCTCTACTCGTCAACTTCATTAAACAATCAGGAATAGAAAAAATTACTTCAGTAACAACTAATGGTCAACTCTTAGTGGCTACAATTTTGTTAAAATTTCTGAATCTTTATCAGTTCTACCGTACACTACTAAATAAGGTATCATAAAAATCATTATTGATATTTTATTGCTTAATTAAATTATTCTGTTTCTTCGTCGCCTCATTTAAAAGAATTTCTTTAGGACTAAGAAGATCGGTTGCCTATCACACATTGATCTTTTGTTAACCAAAGATGGAGAGTAATTAGAGGTGAAAAAAACAAATTTTAATCATAATCATATTAATAAGTGAAAAAATATACAAATTGCATCCCCTCCGAAAGACGTTTACCAGAACACATTTTAAGCTACGCTGCACACGAGCTAAAAGTGCAGGTAAATAAGAAGCCTCTTCGGGCAGACCTCATGAGTAAAACAGATAAGATAGTTCTACTGAAAGACTTATCAAATATGGCTGCAAAATATAAAACTCCAGATAAGAAACAGTTTGAAATTGTGAATATTTTAGAAACAACTCACAAATGTTCAGTAGATATTCTAAAAAGAATCGCGTTCTGGAAGGACTTTTCATCCAAGACAAGGAAATGATATGTACCCTGAGATATTTTTTGATGGGACTTACAAGCTGATTGGCCTGAGATTAACTTGCTACATATTTTTGGTAGAAGATGGCTTTTTCCTGCAGTATAGGTAGGTTATTTTTAATGATATGAATTTTCTTATCCATTCCATTAAATGTGTCTAACAATTTAAATGTTTATGATGTAATAGAACATAGACTTTTTGATTAAAAAACAAAATTGCAATCTTCTTTGTATATGTAGAATTTTTAATAAAGCCTAATAAATTTAATTTAGATGATATTATGTATATGTGTAAATTTGTTAAACATTACTTATAATTATGGATTTTAAATTTTTGTTAATTGTAACATATGTTTGTAATTTATTTAAAGGATTGAAAATGGTTATGTGTATTGCCTCTGGTTGTAAACATTATAACCAGAGAGACACCTGTCGTTTTTTTCGAACACCTGCTGATCCAAAGGTGCAAAAAATATGGATTAGGAATGTAAGGTAAATTAATTACAACTTAATATAGCTTCAAAATTTTTTTTTGTCTCTTTAATTGCATAATAGTAAAGAATTATAATTTGCTTTATAGGAGAGATGATATTCAAATTTCGAAAAATCATGTGATATGCCAGTGCCATTTCAAAGATGGATTAAAAGCAAATGGACCAACGCTTTTTGAGCACAATAAGGATAAGATTTTTAGATTTCCATCTCCTGAAAAAGTTTCAAAAAAAAGGTATTTCAATATATTCTAACAGTTTTGTCGATATGATATATAAGTTATGTTTCTCCTCCTTAGTATATCTGATATGTTTCACGCATTTAAAAGTATTATCTACATAAATGTCTTGTATAACTTCTTATTATGACTTTCGTTCAAGGTAATCTGTTCAAAGTATGTGTAAAAACTACATTATTTCACTATTTATTACACCATTACTAGAGCAGTTTTTGACTACTTTTTTTAATTTAGTGACTACAAACTGCTTTGAATAAAGAAAGGGGAGTGTTTAAGGAGAAATTTGATCACGCTTCGCTAGCCATTTGTCCATTACACTCACTCCGGACATTTGAAAGAGAGGTGTACCATGCCATATTTTAAACATGGAAAAAAAAAATAAGCGTTGAGGTAAAAAATTTAGATAATTGAAAAGATAATTAAAAAGGATTTTTCTCTTTTGCATTCGTATCATTCCTCTGACTGAATTTACATAATATATACTAGGCAATTGCATAAACATCTTTCTTGTGATAGGGTTCTGCAGTCCTTGCTTGTTATCACTCGCGACTCCCGTGAAATATTTTCTTAACAATATTTTATACATGGACCAGAAAATTCGACAGTATTCGCACAGTTAACTATCAGCCGTGTGGTATCGAAAAAAGTAATAGGGTAGTGTGAACATTTTTGACAAATTTGTCAAAAAACCTTATTAAATTTTTAACTGGTGAAGTATTTTTTTAAAACTATAATTTAGAAGTTTTGTTGCATTTTTTTTTCTTAATATCAGGACTTAAAAAGTTGCTTAATATTTCCATAGGAAGTTTTTAGGGCCCAGTGTAGACAAGCTATAGGGCTGCATAGAGAAGTTGTTGTTGCATTTATTTGATCTCAGAAATTTATCTAAGCCGTAATGAAATTTATGTTTCAATCTAAACCTTATTGGAGAATAAATAACGAGGTATACTAATTTAAACGCCAATGTAATAGAACATTTCCATACGTACTAAGAAAGACATTTTGAACGCAAGTCAACAAATTTGAAACCTACACATTTGATTACAGATCTTAGCCAATAAAATTTACTTGAACTCAATAGTTCATAAGTTTTCATTAGGCTTCGGTCTTTTGGTATGATTTTTAGAAGCCTAATTCTGTTTTCCGATAATCTTTTAATTGAGAGCAGGATTTATGAATCGAAGCATTATATGCATATACTTGCAGATAATATATATATACTTGTAGGTAGCATGTGATGAAACGAAATTGACTCAAGAGGAAGTTACGAATGCGAGACAGTTCTCGGTGAAAATGCCGTCTGCGAGAAAGGAAACTCTATATCATGATGTATGCGAGAAGCTATTATCATCTTGCCCAAAACTTGTGCTGAGCTATTTTAATAAGAATTGGCACCCTATCCGATCCGTTTGTTTCACCTAACAGTAAGTATGAAGTATCAAATTCTAAATCTTAATTGGAAACTTATCACTCTCAGACGGCGGAATCCCAAGATTTGAAACCCACGCTCCCCAAAATCGATAGGATTTCTTTTTCTTGCAACCGAGATTAGCCATCAACAAAATGTTATGAGTCAGATGAAACATATTATTGAGATTCTTTATATGTAAATCGAGAGATCAATAAATACTAAAATTTTTATTTTTGTACATTTCGATTAGAAAGAAGTAAAAAAAGTATATGAAAATAAGCCCCAAGACTGTTTTAGGTAATCCAATCAAGTCTTGCTCATCTTGCATCAGGATTTCAGACCTGATCTAGTTTTAATAAATAAAGAAGCCAGCATCGCGTTAGTACAGTAAATAAAAAGCTTATTGCATCGATTAAAGGAAATTGAATTGCACTTTCCGTCAAGAAGTGTTATGAAATTTATTGCATAACAATTTTAAAAACTTTTTTTACAAGTTTAAAGCTCAAAGAAAAATTTTAATTTTTATATTTTGAACATCTTTTCTCCAGAAAACTTTTTCTAGGAGATTCCATTTTGAGACACGCTATTGTATTAGTACTTTATAGAATAAAGATTGCTTTTATTTACCGTATTTCTATTGTAATCTTACCGTCTTGTTTTAACACTTTTTGGCTAAAAGATACCTTTCAAAAAATATTATATATAAACATTTATTTAAAAAAAGTAGAAAATACTATTTAAATGGTAATTAGAAATAACGTATGCTAACTTTTAGAGCGCCTGGCTATACAGTAGTAGTCAATTACGTGAAGGAGTAGAAAGTAGTTATGATTTTGATACATAATTTTATAATTTATAAGCTTTCCCTTGGTATGCATGTACATTTTCTTTCTCTTATTCTGACTGGAGGATACTCTTGTATTCATACTCTTGTACTCAGTGTCCAAAACACTGGTTCCTAATTTTGTCTCTGTGTCTAATTCAATGACATATATACTTATTGAGTTATTTTTTCTTTCTTTCAAATGTATCACTCTGGCTGTCCAAATGACGGATACCCGACTGAGCTGATTGTCGCTAAATTTATATGAACACAGCAGACAACCAGCCCCTCAAGGTTTATATTAGTCTAGGTCTTTATACGTGCTACCCATTGTTGTTGTATTTGTTTTTTTCCTTATTATATATTTATGTGTCAAGGATTGTCTCCTTTTCAAATGTTTTTTCTTGACATCTGGTGTGTGCGTGACCAAACCCGGGCAACATTCGTTGAGTTACTCACCCAGAAGCACCGATGGTGTACCTTTTCTTGTCGAGCATAACCTGTCCGATGCTTGTACTTTCAGATGCCATGAGATGGTTTGCTGAATCCTTCAAATGACAACTTGCGTCAAATCAAGTGCTTGCCATCATCAGTACTGACTGAGATGTTATCCGGTGTCCAGTAGTGAACCATCACCAGGAGCTGTGTGGTGACAACCATTGTACTCCAAAACTGTTTTGTATGTCATAGATGTATGTAACACCTGAGTGGAGATGGGTGGGAGCCTTATCCCTTTTTACTTTCTTTGACTTGCTGCTTGATAATTTTTAATAATGTTTTTCAGTCATGTGCCAAGGCTGTTTAAAATTTTGCGACTGGTCACAAAATTCTGTGGGTCAGTTGGGGTGATTGACGATTTTTTTATGTCAGTAATTTAAATTTAATTTAATCTTTCATAGTAGATAGTATTTGTACTTTTCCTATTTTATTTCTCTTTTCAATTTTACCCCTATTTTTTCTGTGAAGAGAATTGGAAATGTTTCTTTCACTTTTACGTTAGCAACAAATTTTTTTGTGTCTTTCTTTTTTTCACCTTTTGCAATTCAAGGACGTCTGACCCCACTGCTCTTCTCAAGAACGACATTCTTTTCCCTCACTTACTAAATTTACGTCATCACTTAACTTCTTTTCCCATCACTTTCACGTAACCTTCAATTTTGCACGTGGTGATTCTGGTTCCAGCCGTTTTTTTTTAGATTTTCCTAGAGTTTTTGGGGTGTTCACGCCTTTTTTTGGGGACTTCTTCTCTTTGGCACATTATTTGGTATGTGTGGGAGTACTAATATGCACTGATTGGAGTTGACGTAATTGTGTGGTAATCCCCCATCCAATGACAGTCTTTTCTCTCTCCTGCTTGGCAACTGGTACCGCTCGGAAGGGGACGCTGTGACCAGTTCTCTGGGGTCCTTGCTCGACAACAGTGAGGAAATTACGTAGTTGTTCTTAATTGAACATCCTCCCTTTTTTTTTTCGTTGGCGTCTTCGTCGGTGCCATCTTGTAAAGATGATACCTTTCTTTTTTTTTTGCCTTTCTTAAAAAAAGGGTGTACGGCTATGTGCCGGTGATGCAGCTTTCAACTTTGAGTCTCGAGTATGAACTAAATCGTTATCCGTTCTGCAAAACCTCCTCTCTCGCAGAGCCTTCTGCAAAATTTTTTTTTTTTAAGAATTTGGAACTCTCTCTTAGTGTAGTCTTAGTGACGATAAGCCGTGAAATAAAAAAAAATGGATCCTTAGTGAGTGTCTATATCCCCGTCTCTACGTCGGAAGTAGAAGTACGTTTTGTTTCCCGTTGTGCTTTCTTTTGTAAGAGGAAATGAAAATTGAATAACATATGATGTGTCTAAAGATGAACGTGTACAGAGACTTCTTTATATTCTTCTCCTTGAGTAGTTTTTGCTTGTGTTCTGCAGACTTCATCCATGAAGGTATCTTGTAAGGGTGATGGAACCTGGCAGAAACGCGGCTATTCATCTCTGAACGGCTGCATCAGTTGCATATCAATTGACACAGGAAAAATTTTGGACATGGAAGTCATGTGTCAGCTTTGTCGATCATGTGGCAGAAGTGGAAAAAAAGACAGGAAAAATCATCTATGTCGCAATCACGAGGGATCAGCAGGTAGCATGGAGTCTGTCAGTGCTTACAGAATTTTTGAGCTTCGCTACACGGAATATTATGGGGACGGTGACTCCAGTGGATTTAACAAAGTAAAGGACATTAATGGTTTGAATACTGTTAAAAAATTTGAATGTATTGGCCATGTCCAGAAGAGGGTAGGGTCTCGACTGAGAAAATTAAAAAAAGTAAAGAAGGGGCTGAGTGGGCGAGGAAAGTTGAGAGATAGTGCGATTGATAAATTACAAAACTATAATGAGATCGCTTTAAATACTAAGATTTCGTGCAAAACTATCACGAAATAAATATTAAAAATAAAATAAATTAAATCTTCTTGCAATATATTGAATTTAATTTCTGTTGTACTTACAACTACATAAGGATGGCTGAAGCTCCCTAGCTCGACGTGCAACGGGTTACACTATGCTGCTCAGAAAGATGGCGGGTTGTCCATCCCCTCCTTCAGGATGATCTGTGCGCGTGCCAACGCCCGCACTGGAGCAAAGCTCTTAGCGTCTGATCAGCCCGCGGAACCATGAGTCGTCAGTGCCTCCTTGCGGGACGTTGCCCGGAGGGAGCCAGTGTCGGCAACTAGAGGCGGAAAGAGATCGATCGATGGACACAGCTCCCCGTTCAGGGTAAAGGGGTGATCCACTGTAGGAGCTCGAAGGCTAGCTTCGACGTCCCGAGGGCTGGAAAGTCAACACGTGACTGAGAGCCGACCAGCGGAAGTTAACAGGTACCGTCATGAGACCCTACATCACCTTCTTGCAGCATGTCCCGCCCTCCAGCGTATGCGTATCCGCAGGCACAATAGAGTAGTGAACACACTTTCCCGTATCAGTTAAGAATACGGCTGGCGAGTCCGGAAGGAATACCCGGTCCGGCTTTCAAACGGTCGTTTGTTGAGACCGGACCTAATACTGCTTGATGACAGGAGGGCGATCGCCATCGACGTTACAATCCGGTAAGAGACGAATGACCGGACGCGTACGTGGACAAAGCATCGACGTAGCAGCCTTTTGTTGAAGCCCTCACGCTTGAGAAAGAACTGACAGAAGGCGTCACCGTTCACGGTTTCATCCTTGGCTGTCAAGGCGCCTACCCTACGATCAAGGGCTCGATGACACCGGGGTTTGTCGCGCCGCTACTTGTTCAAGTCCCTACTAGCAATGATGGCTATTCTCGGGAACCTTGATATCCTGCGACTCCTAGGTGAGTGCAAGAGCACTTGGGTAGACGCCGACGACTAAACGGACACCCTCTTTTCTAGCTACTGTCCGCACCATCTACATAAGTGACGAGTGGGGTTGGATGTGTACTGACTGGCTTTTTGTTCCGCTGGCGGACTAATGACCCGACCACTCACGAGCTTAGCTCGGTCGTCCAAAAGGTGTCCGCCTGAAGGTACCTTCCACTCTGCTTAAGTGCAGTGGTTCTTGTTCCTTTTTCGAGAGGCAACATTAACTTTGATCGAGGTTCATGTGATGAACCGTGGGGCCTGTGGACCAAGGACACGTTTCGAGTGTGTCGTGTGACGAGGTTCTTGGTAGTCATATGACTATCAAGTGTGTATGTGTGACGGCGATCGGATGTGAGGTGAATGGAATGTGGGTGATGATTGATACCCTCGTCGACGGTAATTTTTCCAGTGCTTTTCCTACCGTACCATTTGCCCATATGGGGAAGAGGCTGCTTAGAACTGAAGCCCCACTAGTACTCCCTTGGCTCGCTTTAGGTCGTGAGGCTGACCCTGAGCTAGATGGTGGACTGATAATGAAGGATGACAGATACATGACTTCAGCTTTTCTGAGTGAACTACTGGGACTATTTGCCTCGCCTGATCACTTCCGCCGTACTTTACCCGATCCCTATACTGTCCGCTAGTCACCCTTCGTGCAAGTATTGCACTCCGGAAGCCCGTGACCAGACCAATACTGAAAAAGGGTTCAGAAACAAAAAACCACAATATC